GTAATTGTTGTAAATATATTTTATTAATTAAAGTTGTAAGGATCTTATAAAAAATTTATTGATACTTAAGTAAAGACCTTTTTAATAAATAACGGTTGAAATCGATGTAAATTGAGTTTATAATAGATATAATATTAAATATTCGTTTATATATTACATATAGTATTAATTAAATACATTGGGGGGGCATACATGGGAAACGAAAAAGAAACTAAAAGTATCATAAGTGCTGGTATGTCTTTTTTTACTGATCTTGGCAAAAATACTCTAACTGGCATACGAATTCTCGCTGGAGTGCTTCAGTATATTTTTAACCCAGCACATTGGGGTCATTCAAAGCGTAGGATTATACATGAGGTTAAGCAGGCTTTTCATAGAACTCTAAATAAACCTACAAAGGAGCATAACCCCCCTACCGAATGTGAACCAAACAGCAACTGTTTTGGTGTAAAGCTAACAGGAGAAGGAAGAGGGTATTTAGGATTTAAAGTATCAGACACTTTCCTAAACAGCATTGTAAAAATAAGTGATGCACAGATAAAGGAAGTAAATGCACTAAACCATCAAAATAAAAATTTTGACATAGTTATCGATCGAGTAGCGAAAAAAGTTATAATTGAAATTGATGTTGAAAAGATTATTTATGATATAATGGATGATCCTGAAAATAAAGGAAAGATCGAGGAAGAGATAACAAAACTCGCTATTGGAAAAATTATTGAAGAAGCTGATTCTAGTCTCAAGAAATTAGCAAATATTACTGGTGGACAGTTTTCAAAGTACGCAGATTCACAATTATTATCAGGAGTAGGAAAAAGATTATATCAATCATATAAAAAACAGAAAGATGAACCAAAATATCCCGTAGAAAATCCCATGCAACTTTCAGAGACTGTGTTACCCATGTCACCTAATGCAAAAACAGGGGAAAGCCCTAATGTAAGAGATAATTCCCAACAAGAAGAACAGATGGCGGAGTTCTTTAGCATGACTGTTCCACGTAGTAGATTAGGCAGTTATGAGAGACTAATATCAGCAAATCCAGGTTTACAAATTAAAACTGCTAATGCTGAAGATGCTAGGAATAACCTTTCGAACTCACCACCAACACCAAATGCAAGTGTTA